CAATTCACATAAAATACCTCAAAATGAAAAAATCAACTTTAATTGAAAAATGGCTCAAAAAATTAATCAAAAAATTTGTAAAATCAATTAACATGATAAAGTGTATGAAAATATTTTTTCCAAGATTTTTAGACTATTTGAGGTATTTTTAATGAATTAAAACTCAAACAGCAAAATAAAATGAAAAAAGACGTAAAGAAAAGAAAATAGAAAAAGCTGCATGTGGAATAGCAAAACAATCCAGTTATTTCAATGGGCTGTGCGCGCAGGGGGGTGTAAATAGGAGCTAAGGCTCAAGATCCACAACACACTCAGAGAGGCCAAAACGCCTCGTTTCATTAATACACGTTGGCAGGTCAAAGGGTCAAACGCGCCTGGGATCAAATCGTGGTCGTTGATCATGGACAAGTCAAGGATTCAACATATGAGATGGCAAACCACGTAGATGCCTGAGGTCAAAAACACATGCCGGAGAAGACGAGCCAGACGGTGGCTCCGATCATCTTCATCGGGCAGCCAAAAACGTAGGTGGCTCAAAACTTCACCAAAATCTTAGGAGCTAGAGAGTCAGATGAGGGAGTCGTATCCAACTCTATTTCTTTCATGTATTTTTCGAGTGCAAAAATTCTGTAAGTGGAGGAAAGTTGTAACATCTCAAATTTGATTAATTAATTTAATTATTTATATTTTTATTTGATTATTTGATATTTTAATTAAAATGAAATTATGTGGTTATAGAGGTATTATGGTATTGATAAGATGCGATGAGAAATAGATGCTTGATAGAATGAGTAAAAAATAACTAAAATATTGTCATTTTAATTAATAATAGAATATAGTCATTTTATTTGTTTAATTAGAATAATAATATTTTTTAATAATTGAGCTATAGTTATTTTATTCAATTGGTTGGAAAAAAATAAAAGAGTAAAAATAATAGGGAGAAAAGGAGAATATTAATAATATTAACATTAAAAATAAAATTAGAGAATGAAAAGAGTATGTTGATAAATAAAATAATAAGTGAGTGTAGTTTTGGAAGTCTCTAATAAAGAGAGATTAAATTATTAATAAAGAGAAGTTAGTAAGGATTTGGGATTAAAACGTGAGAATCAAAATTTTGATAAAAATAAATAAAAGAGATAAGAGTTAGGGTATAGAAAAAACTCCATTGTTAAAATTTGAAGTTGCATCTTGCTGAAAGATCTAAAATGTCTAATTTTTTATCTCCAATTTCTTTATTCTTAAGAATTTTGATGTAAATATTCATCCTAGAAAATCTTTGCAAATCAAAGAGATTTTTTTGACACCCTTAATTGGATGGTTAAAATGTAATATTGATGGGGTTTGCTAGAGGTACTCCTACCATTTGTGCTTGTGACATAATCTTTAGGAATGATTGGAGTATTGTTGCATTGGAAAATACTAAAGCTATAAATTGCTATAAAATTTGATTTGAAACATACTATTAATTGGTTGTTCAAGCCTTTTCCAAACTCAAGTTGGTCCCTTAGAGACTTAAATCATGTTGGCTTAATTGTTCTGCTTATTCGAATTCTATTGATTTTATAGTTTTTCATGTTTTTAAAGAAGACAATGCATGTGCAGATTCGCTAGTCAAATTGGATTTGAATCTTAGTTTTCACTCTTGATCTAGTGTTGTTCCCATTAAACTTATTAAAGATTGTTTGCTTGGCAAATTAGGTATCTCTAAACTTAGACGGTTCTCTTAAAGATTTTGGTTTGGTCACCTTGTGATTCTCTTGTAATCTTATTGTTTTCTTTGTTATCTAATTTTCTTCTTTTAAATAAGAAAAGATAAAATTAAGGTTAAAAAACTAATTTAATATAATATAACTTGGAATTTGATACATAATAAAAATTAGTTTAACTTTTTTTTAAATGCATGTAATGGATGAGAATATATATACTTCTACTTTTAAATAAAAAAGTTGTATATAATTATGTTTCTAAAAATATTATTTTAACCTTTGAAACAAAGAGATATAGTTATTTCTCCTGCCACCACATCATGACAAAAACATAGTATAAAACCCATTCAATTAAATTAAAATTTTATATCATCTATTTAAATTTTTAGGGTCATGCTTAAATAAGTTGATTGAGCAACCGTGATATTTTTTTAAATAAATTAATATATTTATCTGTAAGAGAATTTTTAAAATAATATTAAATAAAATGATTGTATTATTTGAATTAATAATATAAATATTTTATTTAGACTTTTTCATCTATTCATTAGCATTCAATTAAGAGCAAGTGCAACTTATAAATGATATATCGCTAGTTTTACCACAACGTTAATCTAAAATGATGCAATACAATATTTTAAAAAATACATTTGTTCCCAAACATAATGTAGGATCATTATAAATGGAATGTTTCTTGACACGATGAAAGACACAAAAAAATATAATTTGTCTTAAACTATTTTCTCACTCTAAATTATCTTTTTCTTTCTCTGATGTATGAGAACAAGTAAAAGAAATATTCTTCTGTCAAATAGCACCCCTTTAGCCCTTTCCTAAACTAAAGCTCTTCTCAACTACGAGCCGGAGGGGTACCCGAACAGAGCTCCTCAGCGGCACCTTCGAAGAGAAGCTCTTCCCGATCTTGATCTTTCTACCGATCTTTATCCTTAAACTTATTCTTACAAAAACCTATCCACCTTCAATAACCCACCTACCACATAAGTACCAGATGGGAGGCAAGCCCCCGCCAAAAGGAGAACACTCCCAATACGAACCAAAGCTAGAGAGGATTAAGTCGAGAATGGATAGAGGAGCATGATTGCAAAACCATTTAATCTTAAGGGCTCTAGAGAGCTCTAAGACCACAATTAGAGGTCTTAGAGCTCTGATGTATGAGAACAAGTAAAAGAAATATTCTTCTGTCAAATACTATCAAAGATACGTTTAGAGAAACTGTGCAATTCTCTTTAAGGATTCCAAAGTATCCTGCAGGAAATTCGCCTTGTTGCAAAGTATCCTGCAGGAAATTCGTCTTGGTGGAGACGAATTGTTCCTTAAGTTTAATGTTGGAAACATATACTTAAAAAATTTATCAAAAGAATTTATTTCTCTATTTTCATCTCCATTCATTCATAGTTTTGCAGCACTTCCAAAGATTATATATCTAATATTATCTTTAATATATATATATATATATATATATATATATATATATATATATATATATATATATATATATATATATATATATATATATATATATATATATATATATATATATATAATATGTTTTTTTAATCTCTTAAACAATATTTAATTTATTATTTTAATTTTTTAAGCAATACCTCGTTAACATTTTTCAAATTTTTAAATAAGTTTAAAATATTTTGGTAATGAGTTGAAATCTAGTTCTTTCTTTTTTCTAATTTTTCTTCAAGCAATTTGATTTAATAATGAGCCAAAATAAAATATTTGCAAGCTTCAATTAATTATTTTAAAAAATATTAACCTTCAATTAAGTCAAATTTGAGTTTAAAAAAATTATATTAAATATATGTTAAATTTTAAACTAATCAAGTTGGACTTAGTTTTTCAGTCCTATTACTCCTCATCACTATTACGGCATGGCTTTTGCCAAATTAAAATGAACAAATATAGTATGGCATGTGATAACTTATAATTTTGACTCGTTATGTATGGCGTGGCTGTGATATACACGACCATTTGTCGCGCGTAGGTTACACCTCGATTGTAGCAACACTAAAACAGAAAGAAAAACCCAGAACCATTTGTAAATGGCGGCGTATTCTAGGTTGCCCGCCACGTTACTTTCTATCACTGCCTGTTAAAAACTTAAATAAAAAAGCACTTTTAATTTCTGCTTATTCGGTAGTAAAAACTTAAAATATTTATATTAACTTATACTAGTAATAACAGATATTAAATTTTAAGAAAAAAAGAAAAACATTAAATACGTTTTACACCGACTGATAACAAATTTATTGACCCACAGAAGTACACACATGGATGCAACTGGCAAGCACAAAACGAACCGTTTCCATTTTCAGCCTTTTTAACATCACCCACATTTACTATATTACCCTCACAGTAGCAAAAAAAAATCGACAATAAACCAAAAGATACTTTTAATTAGTCAAACTAATTGACTGATTAATGCTAATTACCCAAGTATCTTACTCACGTGACTCACCTCGGAATTCGAGATTTAACACACACGTTCATTCACGACCGTTAGATTTCGTTTTAATTTTGAATTAGTTAAAGCTTTTAAGACAACTTGTCTAAATACGTAATTAATTATGCGGCGCTTCGCATTTCTGTTATTAGTAGTAATTTTTTTCATTACCGGAATTATAATTATAATTAATAATTAATTAATTTAACGATAAATAAAAAATTTCGGCTGATTGATCCTATAAAAAAGCGATTTGGGAGTTTCGGTCTTCGCAGCAACTTAACAGCCATTTTCGTTATATACTCACTCAACAACTTTTCAAACTCACACAAACACCATAGAATCTTTGAGATTTTCTTCCTTTTATGAAAAATAATCACAAAAGTGAAGTTTCAAGGAAAGTTTGTAATAGAATCATCACCGTTTGAAATTAAGCTTTAATCTCTCTAGTGTTGTTGTATGTTTTTCAGCTTTTGTGCCACTTACCTTACCATAACCATAGCCATAACCACCAACATCACCCCACGCACCATGTTAAAAGCACTTTTCACAACGCTTTATTCTCCTATCTCTTTCTACCAATTCCATTTCCTCACATTTTAATACTATTTATTGCTTATTTACTACCTTCCCTTTTCGTTTTCACCCCTTTTAATGTCTTTTTAGCAGATTTTTTTTTCATTCCAAAAGCCTCTCTCACTCACTGTTCAATCTTCACACACAAGTTTCTCATTTATTCTCCCACATAAATAAAATCTCTACCTATTTCTTTACCCAAAACACACACAGTTTCACTCACAAAAACACTAACCATGAAACAACAACAACATAGTATCCTATGTAAAACCACAGTACACGAAAGTGTTACAAAGAAATACATAAAACCAAAGAGAAACATCAATGCAAAGAACAACACAAACAACAGGTATTCTATTCAAACCGAGTTACCGAAAGTGATTCGCGTAATGGTTACTGATCCAGATGCTACTGATACAGATTCATCAAGTGATGAATTATCACAGTCTATAATCCCTCGCCGGAGAATCAAACAGTACGTCAACAAAATCGAAATCGAGACGGTAGCTTCAACGGTTTCGGTTTCCCGTAATAAGAAACGGTCAGCCAGAGAAATGAAATCTTCCCGGAGACCGGCAAATGTTGCAGCACTCCCCGGAGACGAGAGAAAATTCCGCGGTGTAAGGATGAGACCGTGGGGAAAATGGGCGGCGGAGATTAGAGATCCGGAAAACCGTGTACGGTTGTGGCTGGGAACTTTCAGCACCGCAGAAGAAGCTGCTAAGGTTTACGACGCTGCAGCTATTAAGTTTCGTGGTAAATACGCTGTCACTAACTTTTCCACATCGCCACCAGTGGTTGAAAATGTAGAAAAAGCTGAAGGTGTAAACAGAACGAAGAAAATGAAGGTTGACGAAATCAAAACTGAAATATCCGTTTCCGGCGAAGATTCCGGCGACGAGTTTGTTAATCTATCTTCTCCAACTTCCGTTCTCCGGTTCAGACCTGTTGAAATCAATGAATCAAATAAACAGGCTGAACCAGTTTTTGAAGGTGAGCCAGTTGAACCGGTCGAACCAGTTATTGAAGATGTACCCGTTGAGCCCACCGAACCGGTTGGTGAATGTGAACCCGTTGAGCCCACCGAACCGGTTGGTGAATGTGAAACGAGTTTTTTCGACGAAACTAATGAGATTTTCCGGCAGGAAACGGAGGACGTGTTCAATTTTCCAACAACTTGTGATTATTATTACTCCAACATGTTTGATGAAGCTCCTATGCAATTTGTTCACGAAACGACACCGGTTCTTTTGAATCAGTGTCGTTTCAGTGATCACGTGGAAATTGATAAAACGCACTCACCATCACCACCATCACTATCATCATCAGCAGCTTTATGTGAAGGGGATGATTTTCTTGATGACATTTTGTTAGATTTAGAGCCTCTCATTGCGCTTTGAAACAGTGAAAGTGAAAGTAGTTACAATCATGAATCATGATATCATCACTTTCACAAGCTATAAAGTCGTCGTTGACTGTTGAATTTCTCAGCAGATTTTGATTCCGGTGGCAAGAGTTTATTTATGTCATTAATTTTGTTGAATATAGTAACTTTTTTATATTTCAGCTTATTTTTATTTATATTTTGTTGCGTAATAATAGTAATAAGGTGTTTTTGAGAATGTAATATATATTGTTCAAATATCAATGCAAGTGTATTACAGTGAGTATATGAATTGATTCTTGTTGTTTTTTGTGAATATAGTAATGGAGTTTATGTGAAATGGTGAAGGGTTGAGTCACCTCTTGCAAGCGGTGATTGCGGTTGTTACTTATTGCTGGGTGTGAATTCCAAAATCGATGCTTCGAATTTTTTAATTTCCATGTATATGTTTAGTACAGTTTCTGAACTGTTGCTAGTAAGAAATGGTTGGTGATTCAGTAACGTCGGTGAGGGTAAATTTATGGAAGAAAATTATACAAATATCGAAGAGAAACATGTGTGTTACTCAGCATGCTGCATGTGGAAAAAAGATTTTAAAGTTACATAGTTTTAGAGCTTTATACATTATTCGATTCTATTTTGTGAATTCTCTGGCCAATGTACGTAATGATATTGGGGATTTTTACTAGAATAAGCCCACATGGTATAGTATATGTAAACTTATGTTAAAACATTTCCAATAAGATGAAGTAGAATCTCGATGTCATAAGGAGTAAAAGTAACCCTTGAGAATTTTGAAGGACAATAAGGATGTATACATGTAAACAATGTCACATTCAAATATAGTGTTAAATTAGATTAAGTTTTACAACCTTTGAATACATCATTGTTATTTGGTTATGAAGCTAGATAAATGTTAAAAATGGAGTTTTATTATAGTGGATAAGTTTTTTATACGACAGAGAGGATGTGAACCTACAATATTAGTATTTTAAAATATTTAAAAGTATGAAAGTGAGAATAAGTTGAATAATATTAATGACGATCTTTATATTGTATGGATAATAATTTGATCTGATTTTTATATTGTATGGATAGTTGAAATTATTTTCATGTGATTTGTCAACTCATGTGAATTGTCGTTTGATTAAATTTAAATGATGAAAGATTGTTTTTTCTTTGTAGAGATAAAAATATATTTATCCTGCGTGCCTTTCTCTTCAATGTTTTGTGTGTCTTTCTCTTCAATGTTTTGTTACTAGGCTTTTTTTTTTTTTTATCTTGAAGATGATCAGGGCTGCTTTTGGTTCAGGGTAACCAAACTCACAAGTCAGGGTTTAAAAAAATGCAGCCTCAAAATTTTAATTGATTGGTTTTTTACATTTCTTCTCTCTCTCTCTCTCTCTCTCTCTCTCTCTCTCTCTCTTACATTTTCTTTGCAAATTGTTGAGTTCAATGATTGTGCGATTAATTCGTTTGATTAACTCTTTTGAAAACCATTTGAAAAATATTTTGTTGAGGTGATCACAATCCTTTAGATTGTGGTTGGATTTTAAGATCAACAAAATTATACAAATTTCCGAACAAAATCGATTGCACATAAGGTTTTCGATAATTTGTCTCAAAAGTATTTTTTATGTGATTTATCATTGGAAGTAGTATTACATGTTTAGTAGCTTTCAAGTGATTGTGATTATTAATACATATTAATTGATTGCTTATCATTAACTTCAATTGATTTTCATATACGCAGAGCTTTTCGATAGCGGTTCGATTTAGACAAATCGATCCAAGTCACTTCTGCTAGCCATAACTTTTTAAAACAGTTTTTGTAAAGCAAAGTTATATTTAGGGATCTATTCACCCCCTATAGATAAGTCGCCTTCATCTAAAAAGTGGTATCAAGAGCTCCGGTTAATTTCGTGCTTTAATATTCGATTATTTGAAAATGGCTACTGAACCTAAATGGGCGTACAATAGAACACTAATTTTTATCGGTGAAAACTATGCCTATTGGAAAGTTTGTATGCGTATCCATATAAATTCGGTTGATAAGAATGTATGGGATGCCATCATCAGCGGTCCTTATCGAATTACAGTGACCAATATTGAAGGTGTCGTTGTGCCGAAACCAGAAGCACAATGGGATGATAATGATAATAAATTATGGTCACATGATTGGAAGGCACATAATATTCTCATATCTGCATTCGGTGTTGATGAATATTATTGTGTCTCTCATTGTGAAACTGCCAAACTATGAGGGACACATTAGAAGTTGCCCATGAAAGAACTAATGAGGTTAAACATGCTAGGATCAATACGTTAAATCAAAAGTTTGAACTATTTCGCATGAAGCATGATGAAATCATTGTCGGCATGCAAAATAGGTTCATACATCTTATCAATCGTTTGAACGCTCTAGGTAAGCCTATTTTCAATGATATTGCTACTAATAAGTTTTTGAGGTGTCTTAATAGGGAATGAAAACCCAAGATCACCACAATCAAAGAGGTGAATGATCTTAAAACACTTGATCTCACAAACTTATTTGGCAAGCTAGAAAAACATAAGCAAGAACTCACTTGCTTGAAAAATATGAGAAAAAGCTTGAGAAGAAGATGAAGAAGGAGAAAAGTAAAGACAATGAGGTAGAGAAGAAGTTTATTACTCTAAAGACTTCAAGCTCAAGGTCCTCAAACCATTGAGCAAAATGATTGTGAAACAAGTGATGATGAGGACATGTGGTGCAACTTATCTTGTCATTATTGTTGCAAGAAAGGTCACACTATTGAAATATGCAAGTTTAGGATATTCTTTGTTCCTAAAGGTGTTTTGTTTTCAATGTTGCCTAAGTGCAATCAAAGTTTCACTAATCCTCAAAGGCCCAATGAAGATTGGGTACCTAGCACTTTTTGTTATTTTTACAGGATAAATGTCTTGGCTCTACGAAGACAGTATAAGGTATCGTTTATGGATGCTCAAGACATGATACAAGGAAGTCAACAACTAGTGATTCTTAATTGGTAAAAATGTGTAGATTACTTATAGTGCTTCTATCTGAGAAATGTGGAAAAGGTATTTCATTTTATGCAATAGGTATATCTTCAAAAAACATACTCAATAACATTGAATAAGGGATTGATCAACCTAAGAAGAAGAAGCTTGATGAGGAGTAAGATGGCTATAATGAAAGAAACAAGAATGAAAGTCCAACCAAAAATGATGATCATCAAATCAATAATTTTTCTTGGATTCATTGCAAATCACACTATTGGATACTTTGCCAAAGTGAAAGGTGGTAAGATCGTTGTTATTAATAGGTTTGTGGCACGTTTTGCATTTATTCCAACTTTTGTTCGAGAGTTCCTTGTGGAATGCACGTGCATCCCCCGTCATTTGTATGGTGAAGTAATATCGTTTCAATTTTCGCTTTGTAAGTAAGTTTATTTCTTTTACCTGTTTATTATTCAAAGGTATGTGATATATTGTGTGTATGATACATGTTATGAGTGTTCATTTCCAAAAATTTCAAGTGTAACCATTGTGTGTTTCATTTAACATGTATATATTGGCCTGATTCAAAATATCTTCACATGTGATCTATATCTTTTACTATTTCATGTTCACATTTGTGTATTTGCGTGTTATTGGCTAACAAATTATGAAAAATATCATATGTATGTGTATCTCATCAATTACTTATGCATAATTCAAGTTGAGTCTTCCAAAATCATCCCAAATTCATGTGTCAAAATTTTCATGTTTTAGACTTTATATGTTAACTCATATGTCGTATAGGTCAGCACATGAAAATAATTTTTTGAATTTTTAAAAATTGGTTTAGTATGTGTCAAATCATGCTTGTGTAGGTTGGAACATAGAATTAATTTTTGAAATATTTTAAATTCGCTTTAACATGTGTCGAATCATAACCTTGCACATGCTTCCGAGAGTTCGAATCATTTCCTCTCATACATGCACCAAAATCCTCAAATCTATCCATCTCTTCTTGAATCTTGCTAACACTTAAAACCATCATTAAATCTTGTTAGATTCATCCTCCATATATTATCTACATTCATATTTTCAACAAATCATTAACATTCTCATCAATTTTCCTCATTTCATCTTAAAAACCCTCATTCACCCAAATTCTCCAAAAAAAAAAAAAATTGCTCTTATTTTTCATTTCTCTTCATGTCTTTGCGTGTTTTTGAGGTTGTGCGTATGATTTTAGTTCGTGGGTAGTCATTTATCTCTCAAACTTGTTCCCTTCTCGTTCACACATTTCATCGATTAGTTGGTGTGTGAATTTTGTTAGAACATTTCTCTATGGCTCCTAAGCTTTCAAAAACCAAGGGTGATTCTAAAGGTAAAGGTAAAGGTAAGGCAAACGCATCTTCTACTGCTTTGGAAACTCCATTTATCTCTCAAACTTTTTCACTTCTCGTTCACATATTTCATCGATTAGTTGGTGTGTGAATTCTGTTAGAACAATTCTCTATGGCTCCTAAGCTTTCAAAAACCAAGGGTGATTCTAAAGGTAAAGGTAAGGCAAGCACATCTTCTACTGCCTTGGAAACTCCATTTTCATTGTTTTCAACTAAGTGTATTAAGGAATTTAAGAAAAAATATCAACATCGGCTTATTGTGAAGCAATATGTTTGGAAGCCTATTATGGTTAGTTGTTTGGACATTCCAGAAGTTGCTAGTCTTGTTGTGCATCAACAGATTGATTACTTTATGCAACTTGCTCAGAACTATAATGAAGACCTTGTTCGTGTATTCTACTATGGGTTACATGATATGAGAGGTTCATGCTTTAAGTTTACCATATGTAACACTGTTTATGAGTTCACTGATGATCTTTAGAAGTGTTTATTTGGTATTACTGTTGTTGATTCTGATGATGATGAAGAAGCTGACCCATTTGTGATGGATACCAACACTCATATACATTTTAAATGGAACATTCATGTGAATGAGATACTTAAAGCTCCTCGTTATGGTGAT